GTATATTTCTCAAGTGATGTCGATGAGATTTTTTTTCTGTCATGTTCAATTGTTATCTTTCCTATTAGACTAGTCATTCTAATCTAATAATTCAACATGATATATCAATTATGCCATTGTTTCATCGTTGTTACATAAAACATCGTTTGAAGTCTCCTTATAGTCATAGTAAGAACTCTCATATATTTGCTTTTCATATATACGATTTCTTTTTATTTATAAAATTGTTTACTGACTGTCAACTTACAGTGTATATTCATCTTTCACAATTCATTATCATATTGATTCGATTGTTGTTAAAATCTCATCAATTCTTTAATAGACAAAAGAAGCCGTATAATACTGACATACGAAGAAACAAAATAAAAATTAAAGTCAACTTTGCGGAACTATTGAAAATCAATTAGAAGAATAGGTATTTATCTATCTTGTGTAAAATGATAGCATCTTACTTGCTATTGAAAACGCGTTTAGATTGTATAATGAATAAAAAAGAAAGAAGTTTCACAACTATTTTTCAATTTGATTTTTTATAAATCTTAATCATAGATAGGAGGCGTATAAATTATTACTTACTTTTAATGATTAACAATTTTGGTGATAATTCATGCAGCAAATATCCTATAATTACTTTTTTTTATTTAGCAGGTGAAACATTGTATAGGACAAAAAAACAATGATTTTCCGTGACAATTTTGTATCAGGAAATGTTATAGAACTCTCTCTCTCTCTCTTTTTGCATATGGACGATTATAACAAGACACGACAGCTGATGATATCTAACGAACTTTGTAGATCTATTATAGTAATACTATGTCGATCTCGAGAACTCAAATAGTTTAAATACTATTATATGTCAATAATAGATGAATTATTTCATTCTCTCTCGTTGTTAATTTTAAAAATAATAGAGAACAGTAGAAATTTGTTGAAGCAATTGAGATCGGAAATAAATTTGTCCACTAAATTTTCATTTAAGATGTTTATAAATTGCTTATAATGTTGTGAATAAAATACACTATAGGAATGACCGATTCCGATATTTAATGTATAAGATAATTATTGTTCATATTACTTAGCAATTTTTTATATTAAAATACAAAATAAAATGTGTTAAACGGATCATGTCAGGTTTTTTTGTAAAATAGTTGTGAATAGATGATTCATTTTATCCGTTTTCTGCCTCTCATTTTCTTCTAGATTTTGAACAAAAAATATCAAACTGATTTTATAATTAAGATATGTAAAGAGATATATATGTGTGTGTGTCTATGTGTTTCATAATAGTTTAAAGTGACACTTAAAAACATGTATAATACTAATCTTTTTTCTTTTCTTATTGTTATTATTGAATGGGAAAAATATTTCTAGTCAAATAAATAAAGCTTTTTTTCTTTGCCTGTCTAATTACAATGTACACTCTCTCGTTTCTTTGGACATATTATTTAACGGTATAATAATCAATGGCAAATAACCATTTTATTTCTTCTCTCAATTTTGATTGATTGATTGATGCTTAATTATGCATAAGGATATAAAATCATATTATAAAAATATTTTCTTACGAATTCAACAAGAATATCTGTGATATCAACTGTATATAATTTCTTAGAGTATCTATATTATCAAATTAGTCAAGTGATGGAAAAAATGTTCACATTATTATACTGTTGGTATGAAACACACACTGGTATACCAACTTTTAGAGACTATATAGACACTGATTTTATCATTATTCTATTTAAACTAGTAGTCTAAGAATTTGATGATTTTTACAATGTTTACATATTTTAGTTAAATAAGATTTCTTTAGTTTAGTTAGATAGAAAATGATGAAATACACACACGTTTGTTTATATTCTTCTAAACTGTATATATGTTCGTTTCGTACATATGTTTTATAAGAAAGTAAAATGACCTTTAGATTTCTAATTGTAACTAATTTATTTGTATGCTAAAAACATGTCTGTCATTCTTAAAATTCTGTTTCCTTTTTCTATTTTTTTCTAAAATGAAAATGGAAGCTGTAAGGCATACTTGTCTTTCTACATAAAACGAGTTTTATAGAGTTAAAAGATGATGACGACGATTGCTTCGAGGCATAAACGATTGTTAATATTTTGAGTTAATCTCTCTTTTTCTCTCTCTCTCCCTCTTTATATACATATCAAGTCTCATGAGAGATAAGATGCTCTAAGCACAAGATCACATTTTAGTTTGAGATCAATGAAAAATTTACACATGTCTTCGTCATCAGTTGCTTCAAGACATTGAACATTTCCTACTTTAATCGTTTTGGTGTACAAACTAATTATTTACGATTGTAGATAGAAGAAGATGGTTTTAAATGAACGTGTCGTGTGTCAAACTGATGAGTCAAGTAGTTGTCTTGTTATTCCATTCCATAAAAAGAAAAAAGAGAAAGTGTAGTAAATATATATATCAGTATACATTGTATAATAGAAGAAATAAATTATTATCGATACTTGATTGAACAAAACGAGAAAAAGTCAGGGATATTTGGATAACAACTAACCATTTTTTTATTAGACAATTACAAAATCTTCTATATTTTATATGAAGGAATGATGATCATGTTTATATTTCATAGTTTCCCTTTGGACTAAGACAGCTGGCGTAAAATGAGACGTCTAATCATATCAAAATAGAATGAACAAACATCGGATGTACTATTGAATATAATTTGATTTGTTTCGATATTAAATTGTTAATCGACTCTCGATTGTAAACGTTTTTTTTAGGACAGATGTAGAAACTGCCAAAAAAAAAAGAAGAGTGGTGATGGTGAAAGATATCGTTATTTGTTGTTATTATTCTCCAATATAATAGAGTTAATCGGATGAAATTATTTTGAGTACAGTTTGTTGTTAAAAAAAAAAATGAAAAGTGTCTGATGAGAGAGAACCTTGATAATCAATAGAGCTAGAGGGGCTGACCATTTCCTTCTTTTTTGGCAAGATGGAACGCAGCATGACATCAACCAAACGAAGCATATTATAAAAAAAAAAACTTGATTTGACACAGTTTTTCTTCTCTGTCTCTCTCTTGTTTCAATAGACGATATCATGCGTGTATACACTTGTTATAGATAGAGCGATGACAGACATATTACGTTCATAATTATAACGATCTTCGAATGCATGGCTAAATTTTGCTAGACGGTTAATAATAAACGATACAGACGATCCAAACAAATGTTAATTCAATGTAGGTGTTGAGAGAGACAACATTAGCGATAAAAAAAATTTATTGAAAATCACTTTCACTCTTTAATAGATATATCATTGATTTTTAAACATATTTATTCATCCGACAATTACTGTTTATTACAAAATAAAATGATTAGAATGACGTGGAAAAGAGATTTCTACGTCAATAATATCAGTTTTGATTTCAAATCTACTATTTATAGAAATATTGTTTATTTAAGGTTAATTTTAAGAATAATTATCATTCCATTCTATGGTCAGGTTTTTGAAAATACGAATGAACTCTCACTCTCTAAGTTTAATCGGTACCTGTGTTTATAGATTCATAACGTAATAATGATAAATATCATCAAGTTAACTTCTCTTAAGACGAAATAAATTTATTATTTTGTTTTTGACATAATGTACATTAAGCTCTTTTTTGCTTTGTATTTGATTACAGTTATTCGGAAATGTTTATGCTTATTGAGGTTTTTTTATACACTCTTATCTGTGTAATACATAATAAAAGGAAAATCAGTCTTTTTCAATGTCTATTTTGTTGTTATTTTTTGTTGACACTTATAACAGAATGAAGGGGAATAATTGATTACTTGATCAAAGAAAAAAAAATTGCATATGATTATTTACGTAATAACACTTTCTACTCTTTTATTATTTCGACTAGATTTGTTAAGTCATCGGAAGTTGAAGGGAAAAACTCATACCTTTATGATATTACACAATATTACTACCTCTCTCTCTCTCTCTCTGGCTTCCTCACTCTCTTTATTCAATATCGGTGGTTTGTTTTCTTAATCTATCATCTAAAGTATGTATTTACATATTTTAAATCTATCATGGACAAATCCTTGTCTATCGTACGTGCACACTCAAACGTCATCATTATTATTTGATATGAATATCAAATTTCTGTTTTTCATTTCCATGTATAATTTAAAATGAGAAGTAAATAACACAATTTTATACACAACACAAAATACAATTGTAAACTTGTTTTTCATCAATACGTACACACGTGAATTTTTATTTGTTTAGTTAAACAATTGTCTTATGATAGTAGATCATGTTTCTTTTATATCCAATGTTTGTATGTATAAAGAGGATATTAAACATAAAAACAGAGTGCATAGAATGAAAAAATAGAAATCCCAAGTTATAGATATCATGATCATTCTTCTCCAATCTTCATGAAAGGAACTCTGTTCGTCTCTTTAGCGGTTTTAATCTGATTATTTAGGTGATAGATCAAGACGAAAAATTGTCATAAATTTTTGGTGAATCATTAACTCGATGAAAGTCTGATACAATCGTTATCAAAAACGCTACTTGTTGAATTTTTATATGTTTTTCATTTCTTTACATAAGTACTTTTTTTTATAAATATTTAAATAGAATAAATATACAATGAATTGTACATCGATCTTTAAGAAACTAGAACCAGAATTTATCACATTCAAATACAATGAGTTGACCGATTACAGCACAATAACAACATTCCATACATTTTGTTAAAGAAATATGTTTTTTTTTGACAAAAAGTTCGTCAATATGGACAGATTATACGCGATAAAGAAGGTGAGAAACAAAACAAAAAAGTATAATCGAACACAAAAAGTGTAATATTTTAAAAAAACATATAGAACAACGTAATTTTATTGAAAAAAATGTCATTTATACATTAGACAGTGAGAAAAATTTAATTTGAGCAACTAACAACAAAAAAAAGAACATAAAAATACTAAATAGATTCTTGCTATATGTTAAAAGTTACACATAGGTACCCCGTTTCACAAATAAACAGTCAATTTCGTCTCTTACTGTTTCTAATTCTTGATTGTGTATATTATTATTATTATGTTTTCCCATCTCCTTTGATAGTGATGACGATGAACGAAAATTTTCTGTTAATAATGATAAATCTTGTTGAATAGAATTAAATAATCTATTACTTAAACTTTCACTAAATAATGTCGATGGTGGTGATGAATGATGATCTAATATGTTTTTATTGTCTGTTGGTTGATAAATATTAGATGCTGGCAAAGTATTTACAAAACAAAACTGATAATTTGTCACATTGCCATTTGTTGATGATGATGATTCATTATATTGTTCACGAATTGTTGATTTTTCAATATTAGAAGATTTTTGAGATGGTGAAAATAGAAACAGATCCTGAAAAAAGAAAAAAAGAAACTTAAATAATTTAATAATAATAGATACAATTTTAACAGCTGAAGAATGATTTTAAATATATATCAGAGATTTGTATAATACTTACCATATTACAACTAGCTGCTGTTTCAACAGTTACATTATCCGATTTTTCTGAGCATAGACTACCAAATGAACTATGTTCATCATTGTTTGATGACGAAGACGATGATGATTGTATGATTTTTTTGTTATGATTATTATCATCTCTAACGATTGTTGTTATTAACGATGTTGATTTTTTCTTCCATCGATCATTTTTGTTCATTGTACCACCATTATTATTATGTCTACTACGTTTAATTCGTATACAACAGCAGACGAAAAAAATAATAGATAAGAGTAAAATGGCTAGAATAACGGCAAATGCTATAATAACATAGTCATTTTTGAACCAATTTAATAATTGTGATGATCGTTGATGTAATATACTACGAACAGTACCATCAAGTTGTTCATTTGTCTTATCTAATTGAGCTACGACACTTGAACGATATAGACGTATTTTAGTTGTAGATGATAGTCGAGATTCACCATGATCATAAGCTTCAATTTCTAACCATATTTCTCCATTTGACAAATGAAACCATCCATCATCAAATGATAATGAATCATTTCCCATTTGTGAACAATTTATAGTTAAATAAGCTATACCCGTATTATTATCAAATAAATTAATCCAATATGGCCATGATAGACTTTTTCTCATATAACTCACTCGTCCATTCTCTCCAATATCCGCATCTATAGCACGTAATGTAAAAACTAATTTTGATATAGATAAACGATATTTATCTAAATCAATGTCAAATATACTGGAATTAAACATAGGCGGATTATCATTTAAATCATTAACAATGATTTGAAAATGTTTTTCAACTATATTTAATTCATCTTTTGCACGTATAATAACAGAATAATATGTTTGATTTTCTCGATCATAAGAATGATCAGTTAAAAGAGTAAACGTAGCTGATGTAAGTTTTTGAATAAAAAATCCTGATGAATGTTTTGAATTCAAATCAGATGATACAACATCCCATTTAAGATGATTATTTATTACTGTTTGATCACGATAATTAATTGATACATAGGCAATAAATGTTGAATTTGGCTGATTTTCATTAATATACACTTCACTTAGATTATGATCAGCTTGATTTGAACCAAATGTCAATGTAATCACTGGTAAATTATCATTTTCATTAACAACATTAACATAAACGGTAGCTAAAGCAGGAATTGATCCAATACCACCATCAGTTGCTGATATGGTTAATTTATAAACTTTTTTTATTTCATAATCGAGACTATGTGTTGGTGTTGTAACTAATCGAAGTTCACCCGTTCTTGAATCCAAACGAAATGGTATAGAAGATTTATCCGATTCAACTATTTTTATTCCATCAACATTTATTATTGAATAATGTAATCGTCCATTTTCACCTTCATCCGAATCAAATGCATCTAATTTTAATAAAATTGTTTCTGACGGTGTTGTTTCCGATATATTAACAGAATAGACTGATTGAGAAAATCTATAAAATAACATAGACATTTTGTATATAAAAATTATTCTATTATAGTCAGACTATTTTTACCTTGCATTATGATCATTAACATCGAGAACGATGAGTGTTAAATCCGTTGATGTTGAATGTAAACTATCATTGGCTGTTATAGTAAATTTATAGTCACTTTGTAATTCACGGTCAAGACTCATATTAACAACGAGATATAGTTCAAATGAATCATAGAATAGATAAAAAAAATGATTATCATTATTTTTGACTTCTTGATAATGAATATTAATAGATGATATTATAAAATTTTCATTTTTTTTATATTTTAATTCATAAAATTGAACACCATTCAATTGTGAACAATCACTATCATCGGCTTTACTTAGACGAATTTTAATACCTGGCATATTATTTTCAGTTATTTGAACAGAATATAAATTTGAACTAAAAATAGGTGAATTATCATTTATATCTTGAATATTAACATTTAATAAAATAATTGAATGTTTTATCATATCATAGAGTTTTATTTTAAATATACAAGAATTACAACTTTCATCATTTGGACATAGTGTATCACGATCAATACGTTTAGAAATAATTATTAAATTTGTTGTACTATTAAATGTGAATAATGATGATGATTCAAGTAATTGATATGTTAATAGTTTATTTTGTTGTTGTGGTAATTTATTTAAATCATAAACAATTGAGCCGATAGGTAATTCTTCTTGTAATAAAACATCATAAACATTATTTTCAAATGTAAAAGAGAATATTATCATTGAAAAAATTAGTAAAATTTGGATAATCATTATAAATCTAAAATTTAAAAAATAAAAAAAATATATCAACTTCGTTGAAATAGATATTTGAAATAACTTGAGTTTTATCTTATTATTTTTTCTTTCTTTTTTTTTGTCTTTGTATCTCTCAACTCATAAACAATGTCTTACCTTAACTGGACGATAGGCGTTTTTTTATCTATTCTGTATGTTTGTTCAGTTACTGTTGGATATATACAGTCGATTAAAAAATGAGCGTAATGATGATGAGAATAAGCTATTAGAAGGAGAAAAAAAACGTTTTTGTCTATACAGAGAGATTGAACATAGAGAACAAAATCTAATTCTCTCTTTCTCTTTTCTATTTTTCTTTTTGTTTCTCTCACATTATTCCTGATTCGTTATCATTTTTCTCATTTCTCTCTATATATGTACATCTATTTTTTGCTTATTTTTGATCAATTCTAGTTTTTAATCAAGATATAGTTATAATAATAATAATAGTAATAGTAATAGTTCTAGAAGTGTTACGATAATAATCATAATGATGTGAATATGACGCAGGTCATCATAGTATAATAAAATGATTTTGATTCAATATTTTTTGTCTTAAAGAAAATTGTTCAAAATTAGTTAAGTTATATGAAATAAAGTTGAACTTTCTTTTTCTTAAAAAATAATTTTCAAAAAGGATATTATAAAATTGATTGAGAAGCTGACATATTTTTTGTCTTTGAACTTATACATATATACATAAAGAATTGTTGTATAGTTGAACATGGACCTTATCTGGAATACATAAGTTAACTGTTTTGTGTTTTATACCTATAAATCGTGTTTGTTAAGAACTATTCTTTCAACATACACACACACACACACACACACACGTATAACAACAAAAAGAGAAGAAGAAATTATCATCACAGCATGATCTCTAATATTCACTTCATCACATTTGAAATTTGAATGAATTTCATTAACGTTGTTAATGACACATACATTTCTATTCTTAACTTTATGAATTGTACTACTGATGATTTCAGCTGTTCTTGCACGCTATACTCTAATTCTTTTAATACAATCAATTAGATCTATAAGAATAACAATTTGGATTTCACACAAACACAAAAAAGAAAAAAAAAAAAATCTCCATCAGCCAGTCGATGATAAATTTTGTAAGAACATTTCATATGTTCATGATCTAGAACAATTTAAAATAATCATTTTTTCTCTAACACAGAGACACCTGTTAATGAGCAATGACTGACTATAGGTGGGAAAATGCCTTTTATCTAACTAACTCGTATTAGAAACAAAACAGAAAAAAAAAAGAAAAGACGTGTAAATTTTATCACATTTAATTATAAAATCTCAGCGTGTTTTTCTAAAAAAACTTCTTGTGCATATCTCTGTTTTTATCGATTATAATGATTAAGTGTCTACGTGTATATAAGTAATTATATGTTCCATACTAATGGGTAAGATTATAGAAGAATCCCTAAAGAAAAATGAGCCAAAAATTGGACACGAAGAAGAACAAAAGTGTTTTTTTTTTCTAACTATAGAAAAATTGTCTGAACTATCTAATATAGTAAAGTATAGCGATTTCATCTTCTTCTACAAGGTAGTAATTAAGTATTATCTTTCCATGCACCATGCACGTCTCTTTGGATGAAAGTGTGTCATCTCTCGAAGAAAGATAGTTCATCCTTCTTTTCTCTGTTTTATTTGTGGTTATTGGAATGTTGATTTGACTAGTAATCCCATGTTATCAGACATAAAATACTGTTTATTTAGATTTTAAATAGACCTTACTGACTAGTTGAGATCAAAAGTGCACTTTTCTAAATATTATATTTAAAAATCACAAAGCGAATATGCGTTAAATTTATCAATTGTTTTGGCAAACAAATAGATTTAGTATTCATTATTAGAGCAAACACCTTGTTGTTGACACATTACATTACAAGAGAGAACATGTGTGTGTGTGTAAGGATTTGAAGATGAAGCAAAAACACTATTATCTTATATCAGATAACAACTATGGCAAAATAATCGAAACTGAACATACATTAAAACTTTTAAAAAATATTTCCAATAACTAACTTATAAGTATCTTAAGTAATAACAACATTTGATCGTATAATGCACTATGATGTTGATGAAAGATTTAAGAAATTCTTGACGTGTTTACCAATCTAATTCCAAAAGTATTGATGTATGACCTTATGATTATTTTCTATAAATCTAAATAGTGTTTGTGATCTTAAATTCAATGATATATAGGAAAGATGATCTTTAAACAAATCTAATTATACGTTTGTTTCACACTATGAATTCATGTTTATATTTTGTATTATTTTACGTCATTCACTACTCTTAAATAAATAGACAGAAATGTTTTAAATTACTACTCCTGACGTTTTCATGAAGGTTTAAAAAATCGACTCTCTTACATGCTGGTTTACAACCGTTTTTTAACTGATTACCTATAAAAACATTCATTCAAAAATTTTCAACTTTATTAAAAAGAATTATACAATTTTTTGAAACACTTCATTTTGTCAAGATACATTTGATTTCGTATATTAATTATTAGTGTGAACATAATATTTAAAAAACAGAAAATATTTAAATATTATTGGCAAATTGATATGAATAAGTTTTATCTGTAGCATTAGTTTACACATACTGTAGAAATTTAAATGACTCATATTTCTGTCATATCAATCGTGAGAATGGATTCCGTTCACATAGAATTATAGTAGAAACATTTCTCTACACGACAAGACGTTTTGTACCACTGAGCTCAATCAGTTGCTACTGATTTACAATATTTTTCTTGAATTCTTCGAAAACCAGTTACACAACTATTTACATACATCTTCTATTCCACTTTCTCCTATTGTTTGTCTGTGCAGTGTTTTATTTATCATTGTGAATATACATATGGTATTCATAAAATCGCCATGGTCTAGGCTAACGACGGGTGGTATACTACATAGTTCTATATTCATGGCAAATAAAATTATTTCTTTTACTATATACTAGAGTCATCGTCATAAGAAAAGAACAGTTAACAAGAGTCGTGAAAAGATGGATATAGAATAATTTAGTTTTAATTCGATACTGTATGGATCTCTATTGTTTCTATCCTAGAAGAAACTAACATTTTCATTTGAAAAAGGATTTTAAATTGTAATTTAAATACTTATCCATGTACAGGAGTAAATGAAAAATAACTGATTCAGATAACATTTGTCTATTCAAAATTGAATTTAGTAGAAACGACTTTTGTTTTCTATGAATCATAATAAGGATAATGTACATATGATAACGAAAAGACGATAATCATTCATCTTCTCTCATAATTTTGATATTTCAAGCCATTTTTCAATTGTATCTTTCATTTGAATGTTGGAATAGTAACAAATAACAGGTGTGAAGGGATGATCAATCGGAATCTCTTCTTCTTTCAAACAGATTCATTATTTACTTGAACTAATTCATAGGAACGTTAAGCAAAAGGAAAATAGATCTGTATATAAATAAATAGAGACACTTGACAATGCAAAGGGAATACCTTTGAACACACAGAACATAGACTTCGATAATTACATCTTAATACAAATAAGATTTGACATTAATCACTGGTAGGATTTAGCATACATTTGTATATTATTATAAAGGATGATACTTTTGTCGGATTTCCTTACTAATATCATCATATGTTTACAAACTTATTGAATCCGAATAATAAATAGAGGATAAATATTTAAATTTTACTCACGTACATTCTGGAATTTCAAATCTATTTACGGTGCACATAACAGAAATTAAATGAACTAGTTTATTTAGAAATTTTTTGCACGTACCTAATATACAGAAGAATTATCATTTTACGTAAGGATTTTATGAATGTTATTTTTTCTCATTTCATATTCTCACATTGTCATTGATTGACAACACTTGAGACTGCTCATTTTATGCCTTGTTATTCTTTTTTTCATGGTTATCACGTTTAATAAAGAAACGTAGATATTTTAAATTTATTTTTAACGTTGAAGTTTCTCTCTTGTTTCTTATATACAAAGATTTAGATTAAAATAACGAAAAAAAAACAAAATGTCTAGAAAAAGTTGTATGTTGTTGTATAGTTGAACGAGAGTGTTCTCATAATTGTTATGTACCGGAAAATATAGATTAGACAAGAGTTTTGCTACGAAAAAAATTTTTTTATATTCGTTATTCTTGATGACGATATTGTTCTTTATGTATTTAATTGGATGTGTGTGTATGATGCGTATACGACCACCACCGTCTGTGATTGTGATGAACAGCATTTCCTACTGTGCTTTCACGAGATGCATTCGGCGCAATGATGAAACGATATACTATAGAAGATCAAAGTTACCTAGTTAACGAGAATAAATGATATAAATGATAGGACTTCCACAAATGCGTATCTTACGGTAAATTTTTCTGATTTTAATCTTCACTATGGAGAAAAAATAATGATGATAAGAGAAAAATTTAAATCATCGAACTAAATAAAAGACAAGATGTGTGAACAAGTGTGAAAAAGGATAATTCTCTCTCTCTCTCTCTCTATAGAATGAGATCTGTACTAGCTATATATGAAAAGAGATGTCAAAAATGATGAGGAAAGAAACGTAGCATCAAGGCTAATACTCATTAACAGCTTTGTGTTCTTTCAAAAGTTAAAAGACTCGGAATGATCAACATAGATGAATGAAAACTGATTAGATTTATATCACCCACAGCTATCCGTTGAGTATGACTCATAACACACACTCAGATAAATTGAACAATGAAATGAAATCGATTAATTAAGCAGAGATTCACCTAGAAAAGCTGCGGGGCTGCGTATGGCTATCAAACGACAAATCGCGGCTACTTGTTCTCTCCTGATTTGACCCCAGCATAACAAAGAAATTTTGTACCCCCTAGTAAACAGTTTTTGAGAGTGGTCCAAATTTTACAATGAACTGATCCTAAAATGAGGCTAGTCTTCTAAAATACTGCGAAAATACTTTTTACTTTTTGACGTGTTATCATCTTATATCTCTTATTACTTTCACTCTATTCTCGTCTACGCTGACGAACGCTCAAACTAACTTATTCAATCTCCTGTTTTCACATAAATAGTAATTTTGTTTTAATTTTAATGTGAATCGATGATTCCAACTCATGTTGGTTATACTCTAAAAGACCTTCAAATAGCAATATATTTTCACTCCTGTACATTTCAGACGTTTTCGCTTTGAAAGAATAGAATAACGAACAACAATATGATCAATATTGCACATTTTTGAATTTGAACGTTTTCGATTCCATTTTCTTTTTTTTTTGTATGTAATCTGAGCGTCTATAAACATAAGGCTTAAAGTATGTTTGATTTTTTTCCTCTTTTTGAAATCTGTTAGATTGAGTGAAGTAAATTTTTTTCTTCTTTTGTTCTTTTTTGAAATATGCATACAGACAATAATCATCCTTGTAAATCACTTCAAAGTTAGAGTTAATTAAATTGTTCAACTTAAACATTTTTTTTGTTTTCGCATTGTGTCAATCATTTTTGTGATTGTTATTTTCTCAATTTTCACCTATCTGTGGGTTTAAATGATTGTCAAAATTCATTATCGTTAGTTAAAATTTGTTGATTCTCTGTTGCTCCACTTCTGAAGGCAAAAAAAGGATCATAACCATTGAAGAGTTTCACACATCTAAAATAGCTGCCATAGTTTCCTCTATTGGTTAAATAAAATTTTTGAGTGCTATTAGTAGACAGGGATTCGAAACTTAACGAATTCCTGCAATGCTACTGTTATGTATTTTATGTTTAAAACGGACAATTTATTTGAAAAATTTATTAGTGAAAGCATATTTATTCTATTTTGAGAAATGTCCAATCTAAAGTAGATAGATAGATATTGTTTGTGATAAAAAAATACGAAATTGAACTTATATTTGAATGTCAATCTAAACGCAGTCTCCATTTATCTTTTCGCGATGACAACAATCATTTTTCTTGCCGTTATCGGTTTGGTGAAGATGTTGCCTCTCTCTTTCTCTCTCTCTCTCCCTCTCTCTCATTAAGATTGGAGAAAAAAACTCATTAACGTTTGAACAACCCATTTTTACGAGGATTAGGATCATGGGCGTGCATTGTCTATATATAATTTGGAAATCAACCAACAATAAAAAACAAAATTGTCATCAACAGCAACTCTTTAAAAATGTTAACTAGTTTTTTTTTCATTTTATGTGTGAAGATGTAAAACGATCTAGGAGATAGATACGGTTGATAAAATAGGACCTAATCAACAATCGGTTCATTGATACTTACTAGTAGTATTGATCAATGCCACGACTTTTTATCACTATAGAAATAATAACTTAAAATGAGTAGAGAAATATCAACATGAAATTGAGTATTTAACGGCCAATATATTAACTCATTTATTTTCTCTCTCTCTCTCTCTCTCTCTCTCTCTGTCAGATAGACGATTATAAAAGTAAGATTAAAGTAACTGATATTTTTTATCCATTGCCTTATGATGATGATGGTGATGAAGTATTTTCATGTTCTATTTAACGAAATGACAAGGGCAATGTGAGACTATAACGTTATTTTTTTAAAAAACATTTAAAGATAGTTCATGTACGCGATAGTCGACATTGAAACTAATAAACAATTTAGGACAAACTAGAACATCACCAATATACGACCAAATCGAACAAAAGTCGGTTGTGTAACCAAATCTCTGTTTTGTGCTAGAATGATCATTAGATGAGTTACGATGGTCCAGGTATTATAATTCAATTTAGCAAAACATAAAACCTATATGATCAAAACAGTCTGTGAACATGAAGGAAAATTATTAAGCCAATAGTTATTTTTATTTTACTACTTCTGGCTGCTAGTGTCTCGGAATTATTCATGACATGTTTCAAATAAAACTGATATCAATGCCATACACTTCATTATTACGCTTTTAAACGGAAAATTAAAGAAAAGACGTTGCGGTAATCAAACTTATTATCACGTTTTGAGCGTTTGGATATTAGGTGAAAAGCTGACTGAACAATTAATAAAATTCAAATCATATTACATCAAGCAGATTAATCTTAAGGTTGACTATAGTTACAATAGAACACTATAGAGTAAAAAGAGTTAGTCCTCGAAATTTTGTTCGTAATTTCACTATTTCTCCTCCATTTTTTGATTCAATATCAGCAAAGTTAGTCTTCAAAAACTAGATAAAGTTGATATTACAACTAACTGAACTTAAACTATGTATACTTATGATCTCTTATCATCATAAGCTATGCGAGATATAAAATTTATTTCCATCTAGTGTCATCAATAAAGTATCCGCCTATTAAATTTATAGAAGAGGAATAAACCTTATTAATTGCCAATACTTAACATTTTACTAAAATGTACGAAACCGATATAAAACTCAGATCTGCAATTGCATTCAGCAAACGATTTCAAAACGGTCAGACTGAGACATTCTTCAATCCAGTACATACTGTCAATAGTCTTTTCTCTTCATATGTCGACTATTTCAGATATTGCTCATAATCGAAAATCTGGAGATCAAAAATTTTTCTCTCTTTCTTGGAAACATGATAAAATGAAGGTTTTTAACTTTTGTTCAAGGCAAAAATCTAAATATTAAAAAAACCTTTAATTCGATAGTAAACTGTAATAAAAAACTACACTATAGATAGTAACAATTAAGACAGTAAGTAGAAATAATAGTCAATTAAAATCGCCAAGTGACAATGGGGATCTTGTGGTAACTTCTATATTAGAATAAAACGTGACGTTTTCTTGTATTACAACGAATAGTTCTTATTCTAGGTGCTCAATCTCTTTCTTTCATTGTTGTTAGCATCATTTAGCTCAAATGTATTTAAAGAGAAAGAAGATGAAGAAAATAAAATTGGTGAAGCGATTGAACGAATTCAAAAATGTTTTCGTTCTATGGGACGTTCATTTATTAAACTCTGTTGTCAATGTCGAAATCGAACGAAAGTTGTTGAAAGTGCAACGATCGAAACGCTTTATATCAGTCAGGTAAGCAGAGAGAACTCGAACAAGTTGATAGTCACAACTCATTTTTCTATCTCAAAATAGTCGATAGCTGGCACGAATGACAGTGGTATGCCTGCAATCACTCCACTTCTCATTGATTATGAGAATTGTGAAATTGATAATAAATTGAATTCACGGCGTTCATGTATTTGACATGATATGAACCTTACAAACACGAAAACTACCAGATATGATCTTATAACTAAATATTCACAACAAAAGAAAATTTGAAACGCAGTAATTGTACTGCTTAAAGGAATTTAACAACAACAACAACCACTATACTTTTTACAGCTTCGATTTTAACAGACATGCACGAATATAAGTATAGAACAGTCTTAATTAGATACGTTCTAAAAACAGAATTTTAAATTATTTTTTATAATTTTAAAATTCTGGCCGAAGATTACCAACATTATGGGGTAGTTAGGGAGTCTCGGTCAATTTGGACAAATTTTTCTCAACTTAATACGATTTTCCAGATTTTCCAAATCGTTTAGAAAAAATAGTCATATGTTTCTCGGTAATAGTAGAAAAGTAAGTCTAATTTTATTACTTACTTACTTTAGTTCAAACATTTGACTAGAGTCAAATGTTTGAACTAATATTTACTTTTGACAATTCCCTTGTTAATTTGTCTAGCAATATTTTCTGTACCAATGATGATTCCGAAAACTATAAATTAACAATTTTTGAAAGAAATAGTTTTCCCGGAAATGAGTACTCAAGCCCCCTAAAACTCAAACTTAAATATTCTATGTAAGAAAATTATTTTTTGAAAAAAAGTGAGCAAACATAGAAAAATAAGTAGACAAGATTTTTATAGCGAACTATTGTTATCTAACGAACGTGTTCTAAACATAAATGACGATATCGACGACGAGACAGATGAATATATCGATGACGTTTGATTTTGATTATTATCCATTTTTTTGTTGGAAAATATTATTCGGATGTATCATCGTGATGGTCTGATGTTGATTTGTATCAAAACATATAAATGGATGATTATTTGTCATTTGAAGAGGTGATAGTGACGGAGAAGTTGATGAATCAGGATCAAGTAATAATTCATCGATTGTTGCACGCTCTAAAATTGGTTCACGTTGTGCACGTTCGAAACATTTTCGTTTAACGTTACGATGAAATGCACGTGCACCTAATCGAGAACAATATTGCTCTCGTTGACGTTTTAACGTTGTTGTCACTGGATTATAATCTTTTGGACGATCTTTTTTAATATCAATCGGTGTCAGTACCGTACTACCATGTACATCTAATGTGCCGAGAAAATATTTTGTTAAAGCATCAAGAATATCGACACAATGAACGCGCTCATGTTCACATATTGGCAGATCCATGGCTACCAATAGCAAATGATTTGGTTTTGGTATACGTAATGGTTCTTCTAATTCATCAACAAAATCAGATAATTGATCATAGAGTATAAATTGAGTGCCCGCTGGATCTAATTTTTGCCATTTTTCATAGTACATGTCGTAATCATCATCAGTCAGACCTAAATTTTAGAATGAAAAACAAAATTATATGTGTTCAATACGCTAGTTCTTACCTTGTTGAACATCTTCTTGAGCTTGACTAAAATTTTCTAATATCACAGCTATGTACATATTAACCTACAATATAAGTACCAGATACTGGCAAAAAAAGATAAACTATTAACCAATTGACTTACAACAACTAAAAAACTAATTATCAAATACGAAACAAGAAACGGGACTGCAATTCCCGTGTTGCCACAGTCTCCCCGATGGGATGGAGACTGTATTGTACTATTACAATCCGGTGCATGATCGTTGGTTAATGCTGTCAATACACCTAAAAGTATAACAAAGAAAAATATTGAGTTCTAAATAAAATAATTAAAACTAAAACATACCCGACCATCCAGCACTTGTACACATTTGGAATAGAATTATCATTGAATTTGGAAATGTTTCGAAATTAAACAAATCAGTGACACCTGCTGATTTTCTTACATAGGCAAAAAATGACATTCCAAATATTGAATAGATAAACATAACCAAAAATAATAACAAGCCAATATTGAATAATGCTGGCATACTAACGGCTAATGCAAATAACAATGTACGAATACCTTTTGCACCTATATAATAAGTTAATAATGATTATCTAATGTATATTGTAAATATTTCATACCTTTAACCAATCTCAAAATTCTACCAACACGTGCAACACGCACTACACGTAATAATGTTGGATTAACAAAATAATTGGCCATTATTTCTCCAAGTGCTTGACCTATAATAAAACAAGAAAAATATGCTTTGATTTTAAACTCTTTGATTCAATGATCACCATTAGGTATGCACCGGTATCGGTATACCGAATACCAAAAATATCGAACTTCGGTATATACCGATACCGAAAATACCGACTTTTTTTGACTTGGAATTTTTTGGATTTTTTCATTTGAAATGAGGTATTTTAGCACCCTGGACAAGCAGAACGTATAAACAACACTCAGCTGTGTATTTTGAGCATGTTCAGATAGAAAGAAAAGAAAAACTTTGCCTTTAGAAAGCAAACAAAGCTCTTGTTTTCCGTCCCTGATTCATTCTGGGTGTCCAGGACGCCAAAACATCTCATTTCAAATGAAAAAATCC